ATCTATTATACTTTTCCATGGTCTTAATTTGCAGCTAATAGCTGTCAGAGAAATATAATGAGCTACATTACATTGGAGAAAATGCACTTAGTTGCTTCCCATGTTTGATGAGAGTTGAGATGTGCTAAAACAAGCTTAATCGAGCCAGATTTCCTGATCATCTGATGGGGTCATATAACAAAATACCGCACAGCGTATACACAGCTGGTAGAGCAGAATGCGTGGTCGCCGGTGTGTGAAAGACCTGGCTCAGACTGATGATTTTGCTGGCATTGCTCCTCCGCCCTGACTTATGCACGCACACAAACACACAATCGCACACACACAACTGTAAAAGAAGCTGTTAGAGAGCTGACAGGCCGCCATCTGCGGCGCGCCATCATTAAGACGGGCCTGAACGCAGATTCATGAGCAAAGCTATTCAACAACCTGGCCACAATAAAGATGAGGAAGATAAACAGGGTTAAGATGCACATTAATCTTTTTTTGATTTGGATAAGCAGTTCGGTGTTCATGTATATGTGCGTTCTTGCCTCGAGCCTTTTATGTTAATGTGTAAGATAAAAACAGACAGTACTTATGGGAGAGGCGGAGTGGAGACGGAGTAAGAGACTGTCAGGCCTGAGATGATGCTAAACCCCTTGTTGCTTTTCATAATCTTCTTGAACTTTGGCAGTGTCATTAAGCGATAATGCAAGATAATGCCAGAGATCCGCATCGATTCGCCATGCCTGCCAGATGAGGCCAATATCGACCCAAGAACAAGGTTAGGATGAGAAGTCTTTTCATGCCTCTAATTTATCTGTTCATCTCAAAGCCAAGTTGTATTGCAAGAAATAGCACAAATCTGACCTAAAAAATAATGCATTTTAATGTCTTTTCAGAGAAAAATCTTCTTGTAGGACCCTCTGTATGTTTTTATAAGCCATATGGACACTCGGCTCAGAGCGTGTAGGTGCATACTGGTCCTCGGAGCCAAACATTTGAGGGCTTTGGATGAAATTTAAGCGATTTTTTTTGGAGCGCCGCTCCAAGTGCCTGTAACAAATCTCTCAGTACAACACAGCAACAGAGGAGAGCTGAAGGTCATTTTCAGCTTTGAATTTAACAGAAATTCCCGGTAAGCACTCTTAATGAGCACTGTCCTTGGAACTTGAGCTGAGTGAAAAACATCAGCGAACACGCCTGAGCAGGGAGCGTAAAAGAGACGCTACATTCAAAGTGACTGATTGTCGTCGTGAAACTGAACCCAGCAGTGTGGATTCTTCCGGTGTTTCGGAACAATAATGAAATGAGTGAGTCACATATCAAAAGAGTTGAGAAAAATGAGAAGAGCAATGCAGGGAAGAAATACAGAGAAAGAGACCGAGGGAGTGAAGATGAGATTGGCTTCTTACACAAAACAGTGTTGTGAGGCAATGAAACCATGCATTGATAGGAGAGCACTCATCAGAGGAAGTTCAGGTGAAGTGAAGGTCTCCGAGGTTAGATGGTGCAACAGTAGAAGTATTCACAAACTGCTTCCAAAACAAAAGCCCTCCCACTCATTCGAATTCCCCTTTCACCTTCTTCCTTCCTTCCTCCAAACCTTTGATCCTCCTCACTTGTCTGTCTCCTCCTTCTTTTCGTCTTTTCCTCCTACGCTTTTTCACTTGTGCCACTGAGGGATTCGCCCTTGGCAGCCTACTCTGTTGCCTCAGCCAGAACTGAGTTGGAATATTAAGAAAAAAAAAATGAGGCCAAAATTGTATTAGTTTTATTTGTGTCTTGGATGTGAGGAAAATATTTCGTCTCATCTAAAGATATTTGGAAAGGATGTCCTGAGCACATTTTGGTCAGCGAGGAGCAGATGGAGCTTAGAGCAAAACTGAATCTCTCACATATAAATGAACACAATGGTAACTGGAGAGGACACACTCTGATGACACACAAGCAAAAACGTTCAGTTTGGTTTTTCCAGGAATGAATGGGACACGGTTGAGACCGTGGACGATAAAATAATTCGACAAAAACCGAGTTTACAGCCATTGGTTACATTAGTTTTTCAGCACTAAATTATTTCTTACAGTAGGCTTTTACATCAGCACAGGTTTTGGACTGAAAAAGCTTAAAAAACTCACATTTCTATTTTTAAAGGACAGCATCATCTACTAAACATTCACCTTCTCTGCTGTTGACCTGTGACTCAGTAACAAAGTAACTGACACAATCTCAGTCTCAGTCTCCAATTGTTAACAAGCACAACCTATTGCAAGCCTGACTGAACAACTGAAACCATCCTTGTGTGTCAAGGAGCTGTCTTTTGGAGAATGTTGTAATTATATGAGAGATACCATAATTTACTTAATGGCCTGTCCAGAAAGTCTACGGTCCAAATTTTGTGAATGAAATTCTGGAAAAATCAGAAGCCACCCCTCATTTCTTTATTAGTATTTGCAATTATTTAAAGTGGTCTTGAGCCACAGTTCTCCAGGCTTGTTGTAGGGTTTTCAAATGTCTTTTTTGGACATTAGCTATTTTTTCCATTTGTTTTCAGTGGATCTTTATACCTTAAAATTTCAGAGCAATGTTTTTTTTGTTTGTTTTAGTTTTTTTTGGTAAAGCACTTAACACTGAATCATTCAATCGTAAAAAGGCACCTAACACAAATGATGTTCATCTTTTGAACCATTTGTTTCTTTAGCTGACTCTACAAAGAAAAGAAAATAGACAAAGATAGCATAGTTTGACAGAAATAAAATAGTATTTTTGTATCAACAATGTGATTTCCAAACAGCTAATAGTAAAACCCTGGCACATCTCAGCATGGTGTGGAACATTTTGGTTCAACTTGTTAGTCTTGGTAATAATGTCAAACACACTGCCAGTTAGGGATGGATATCGTTTAGGTTTTACCCGATACCAGTACCAAATCGGTACTTTTGAAAAGGTGCCGGTGCTTAAACGGTGCTGGAACCGGTGCTTAAAGAATGGAGAACACAAAATTTGTCCAAAAACCTCTCATGTTCAGCTGTTTTGTTGTAAAAAGATAACAATGTTAGCCTTTTCTGCAGCTATAGGGGATATATGGTATCACTCTTGGCTGGAAGCAGTGCTTAATCAATGGAAAAAACATAAACTTTGTCCAAAAACCTCTCATGTTTAGCTGTTTTCCACTTTTTCTTTGGTCATTTTAGCCTTTTTGGCCAGGGTGAAGGGAGCATCTGCCATCAAACAAGAAGACAGCCGCATGTAACTACGACGGTGTTTGCTAGTTCACCTTACATGCATTAATTTAATAACGTGGTTAGCCTACTCAACGTAAATTACACACGAACAACATTAAGCTACTCACGCAGAGAAGAACGGCTGCTGCTGCTGCCATCATCATCCGCCATCATTTCTGCTGCACTGGCAGGGCTAGGGGCCAGGACTCTCCTCTTCGGGTTTTTGGGGGATGTTGCTAACTCCGGGTCAGATAACAGGCAACCCACCCGCAGTAGATGTGTCCGGTGTGAGGTCTCGCAGCAAGCATTTCTCGGCTTTTAAAAAAACGCTATGCGTCGCCAGGTGTTTCATCAGATTCGAGGTGTTACCTCCTTTGCACAGTATCACCTTAAAGCACTTGTTGCAGGCTGCTGAGTTTGCCAGACTTTGACCCTTCACCTTGGGCATTTTTAATCTGTAGCTCTGCTCTAAAAGAACGTACGTACCTGGGCCCGCCTACTACGCTTGCAAAGGTAAAATGATTCGCTAGAATCCAAAGTGTATGACATTTCAGGAAAAAATAAAGCACCGAAATGTGCGCTGCTTTTCGGTCTGGTTACTACAGTTTACCCATCCCTACTGCCAGTACAGTGAAAGTATGCATGGATATATAGAAAAAAAACTGTTGAATATTATCAGTCATGGATTGGCCTCCCCAGTGAAGCAGTTTGAGATCATGTTGAGAGAGGACGTAACAAAAGGCAGTGAACAAGAGGAGTTCTGTTGAACTCCTCAGAACTTCACAAACTCTGTCTTATATAAACTGCATTTCCATTTACGTTAGCAGATATTTCAATAACTTACCTCACGTATTCCTTATTTTCCATGCAAAATAACAAAGAAATAAAGAACCACGTTCAGGGATGGGCGCCATCTGCTGCGACTGGTTGGACGGTGAAGGGAGAGAGAAGAGAAAAGAAAAAGGAAAGCACAGAGAGACAGGAGAAAAGCACAAACAACTGGAGAGAAAAGACTAAATTTGACACGCTGCAGTGGTGTGCGAACACCTGGACAGTCAAAAGAGGTGAGTGGACAAGACATACTTGTCGCATCGCCGTATATCACCTCAAGTTCTGCAGCAGTCTGAGCCTGTTGCTCGCAGGATCATCGCCAAGGTATGATTCAGGGTCACCTGATCTAGCCCTAACTACAAGCTTTTTCAACTGGTAGGTATATGTGTCATCATAGATAAAAAGAAGCCCTCCAAAATAAGATGCTGGCTTTTTACATTTATATATAGTCTCTTCCTCTATAGCCATTTAGCTCTCTCCCCTTTTTCCAATATTTATGCTTACCTAAACCAGCCAGTTTATGGCTGCTTCATTCACCAAACGACAAACTATTTTTTAATAAACATATATATGTTTTAGGGCTGGATGGCTCATCTGCCACATCTGCCTTCAAAGGCTTTTTCCTTTAATATTTGTTAGTTTTTAAAAATGAATTTACAGTTTTTAAAAAAAAATCTTATTTATTACCTAAGGTTTTACTTTTTATTTTGATTAGTAATGATTATACGAACAAAGCGATTAATATAATTTGTATTAAATCCTCAACACACCAAGGTGACTTAGAAAGATTCTGATTCTAGTAATTTGCAGTGATGAACAGTGTACGGCACATAAATGACAACATGCTAATAATGCTAATAATGCTAATAATAATAATAATAAAGAAAAGCTTAATTCAATGCAAAATAAGGTGCATACTGTTTTTAAGTAATTCAAACACAAATAACCACGCTGAGCAAGAAGTTAACGGATCCAAACAAGGGTTTCCTTTAATGATCATTTGTCTTGTAAAGAATATAATACAGGGACAGGACTGGAATTCATAAGAACATACATCAATAAATATGGATAAATACTTGTGGACCACATTCACACAGCTGTAGATGAGCCCAGCGTCAGCGATATTGTGTCTGTGCTCACAGTCGACACGAACACACACAGACTGAAGTGTTGTGCAGGGAACAGAGCCAAAGAAGTGATGTTTGTCAGTTTGGCAAACTATTACTTTGCTTCCATCTCTCCTGTTGACCGAGCGCCTCTTGTTTTTCTGTTGCAGCGGTATAAACCAGCAGCGTGTGAGCTGACGAGAGGAACAGAAAGCAGGCGATGGGTTTTTCATCCACAGAGGCTGTGTGAATATGGCCCAGAGAGGCTAAACAACAAACACACCCAGAGTTTAAATGGATTGTTCTAACAAAAAACTTTGAGTATTTATATCACAGAGGAGAATAGGGAGCATTTTCACTGCTTCCTGCTTTGCGTTTGTCATAATCCCACTGTAACATATCTCCATTCATCCATCCATCCCAACCATTTTCTTTACAGTGATAAATTGTCTCAACTCAGCATCAGACAGAGCTGCGATGTTATACAAATACCAGCAGTGTGGTTTCCACTATGTTAGATAAGTGATGCAGCAGTCCTCAGGAGGGAGGCGAAAGTTTAAAAAAAAATCCTCATGAGATAGTTATGAGATTGAGATAGGGAGTTATGAGAGTAGTAGTATGCATATGGGACAGGATACTACCTGGAGTGTCTTATGGACACATAGGAGTGCTATAAGCTACACCAGTCTGTTTTCCTGTCATTTAAAAAACGCTCAGCAGTCAGTCAATGCAATTGTACCGCCGATGCCATCGACGGACTTAATAAGAACCCAGGACAGACAGCCTAATCACGAAATCAATAGTCTGTCTGCGTGTGATTGAGGAAGGACAACAGCTTCTAATGCTCTTATCAGGCTGTCATGACTGATGAGTGTCCTGTTCAAATGCATCAGGTCCAGAGAACAGAAAGATGTTACAATACATGCGGGAAAGAAGTTCTTGGTTTCCTTCATCCCCACAAACATATGCTCTTTGTCATTGCAAACAGGCGGTAGACTTGACTTTGACCTCTAGCTGCTCCAGTCTGCAGGTCAGGGTGTCCTAGTCGTAGTCTTGCTAGTGTGTGAGTGCAGATGTGTGAATGCTTTATGTATGGAATAAGCACTTTATAAATGTGTGTTTGAATGGGTGAAAGCAGCCTGTTGCACAAAGCGCTTTAAGTGAAAATCGCTGCAATATGATTAATGGCTCTGATCATTCCTCAGAAAATTCATTTATAACACTAACAGGCATCACAGTACTATTAGGCATTTAACTGATCAATCCTCGAGGTATGTGCAAAGTGACTGATACTTTCCATTTACACTATGAGTTGCCCAATTTTACAGATGTTAAACTCTTAAACAGCTGTTTTTGTTTTCTCGACTATAACAGAACTACGATGGCGTTGGTTTTGTAGCGCTTGAAGCGCCTTGAAAAACTAAGCTTCAATGTCTTTTCCTCAGAAATATTTTTTCTATAATCAAGATAGCCTTGCCAGCAGTATCACTTTGCAAAAGGAAGCACGCATATATCTGTGACAAGAGGTTGTGCCCATGACACTGTGACAGGATGTAAACATTAATGATCCTTCAGCTGAATACTAATGCAGCTTCCGTTAATTTAGAGGTATAGTTTGGCAGACAAACTGATACAGGATGTGTTTCTTTTAAATAATTAACAGGTGGTGACTTCTGCAAAGAAAATACATTGCTGCCATGTTTTTCAAATGCATAGTTTGTCATTACAAGTTCCATTTAATTCTAGAGAGAGAAGGCAGCCATCTCTCAGTTGCAGATAACTACAGAACTGGGTAAGTCAGACCATATGCAATCTGAGAAGGATAGTGGAAAAACATGTATATTTGATAATGGGGTGAACTATGCCTTCAAGTCGTCATCCTAGAAAGATTTTCTCTTGTAACGTTGTTTTATTATCTGCAATTTCATGCTGGGATATTAGATTTTTTTTCCTCCACGTACACTGGAAATTACATTGGTGTTTATGAAGGCTGCTGCACCCGCCTCGGCCACACTCTTCCAACTAGGCACGTGCTTCATCAAAAACATGTACAACAAATTTAACCGAGCTGCGCTCTCGCTGTCAACATTCAGACAGAGGGCAATCAGACAGTCACAGCTACAAGCACAAGAAGATGCCACTGCACTCCCATCAATCCAATTCTTATCTCATGTATGCGGAACTCAGTAAGTGGGTAACAATTACGATAGGTGGCTAAGCCTGAGAAGAGGCCTTCTGGCTGCGAAGACGTTCAGCGTTTTGCCCGCTGCTTTCCCCCCCCGAGGTGTGGTGCTGAGCCAAGAGACAGTTGGCAGAGACCGCTGTTAACTCATTCATCTTCATAATTAACACTCACAATTATAAGAGTTTGTCGCTTTCTGTTTGCCTGCCCTCGGGGCTCTGACTAGAAAGCCCGACGAGGGAAGAGGAGAGGAGTGTGGGTGGAGGAGATTAAAAGGAGGAGTCAAAAGCAAAGAGAGACAGACACTGTTTGAAATTTCAAGAGGGAAAGTGTGGCTGTTTGAATTCATTGAAAGATTTTTTTTTTCTCCTCTCTGCCGGTGAGAAAGGTTAACCACCTTTAAAAGACCAGCTCAGTCCCAGCGGATGTGCAAAAGCTAAATTGTTCATTACCCTCGGTCCAGAGGGCGAAGCTCTGCGTTAAATTCAAACGGATCTTTTATGTGCTGTCTATTATACTTCTGACTTATCTCTTTTTTTAAATAAAAAATGGAACATTATCAGTAGAAATTCCACACATATCAACCTATCAACTCATGTGGGATAAAAGATTTAAATATATTTTCTGCATCTTGTTTGGAAGGCCTAAAAATCTCTGCAGAGGCAATGAAAAATTGACAGACGTCAGACTCTCCTTAAACACAAATGTCTAGTCCTATTAACCACTAGAAGCTGACTTGTATTCATTTCCTTATCACTTTATCGCATTAAAATTTAGTCCTGTCACACAGCTCAACCTTTACGCAGCTGTAATTAAACCGTCCCTGTGTGTCAACTCTGATTTGAATTAGGTCTTCGGTCTGCCCTTTTATTCATCCGCTTTCTTTTATCAGTCTATTTTACAGGAAAGACGGAAAAAAAGAAGTTTGTGTCAGTCTGACATCGTCGAGTGACAGCTGTTTGACAGCTATGACAGTTCTTTGGGCTTCCTGTCTGTCACTCTTTATTTTCCACTCGCTGTCCGTCAGCAAAACCTTCCCCTTGTCATGGCTGCTCTGGGGCTCTGCAGATAATGCAACTTGTTAATTAGGCATGCAGCAGATTAATTAAACTGATACAGGGATCTACGATCACTATTCTTCTCCATGTGGAGGAGCGTTGTCATTGCCAAGGTGAGGGGAGATAAACAAAGGCGGGGGGGATTTATGTGCGCAGGATAGATTTTCTTACCTCAAGTGACTTTATATAACCCGATCCTGGTTTAGTGTTTTCATAAGATGCGCGAGAGGCTGCTGAAAACCCTGAGTCTACGCTTTCTCCACTAAAAAACAAGTTAAACTGAATTTAGGTGTGCTTATTGTCCACTTCCCGACTAAGATGAAAGGTACTAAAGTGTATAGGTGGTGATGATAAAAGTATAACGAGATAGAGAAACGAGGGATAAAAGTGCTGGGGTGTAATCCCAGAAGCTCTAACCCCAAGTGCTGGCTTTAAAAAACAGCAATTTAACCTGGCAGTAAAGGGGAAGAAAAAGGGAGCAAAGTGCTTGTTCTATCCATTTCAATCCCCTCTTTAAAAGAGGAGACACGACAGGGGCGAGCTCAGGTGTGAACAGCTGCGAGACTCCAGAAATGGCAAGCCTTAATCTCTGCTGATCCTTTATATCGTCATCCACTGGGACCTCAGCCATTGTCGGCGTCTTCAGCCATAACGCACACATGCGGCATCCACACAGACAGACACGAGACGAACAAGAGCTTGTTGTCTCCGTCTCCTCTGCATCATATTCATCCTCATACTCTGCACAAAGCTCTGATTCATGATGCAACAATCTCAGCTTGTTGTCGTGCTTGTTTCCCACTACTTGCTCAATTCTTCCTGCTTCAGAGGGCTGGTTAAGGCTGAAGACTACACTACAAAAATGTACATCTTCAGTCCTTTAATCTTTAAACCTTGTTCTGAATGTCAGTGTTATGACAACAGATCAAATTATGATTTCAGTGACAAACACAGACAAAAATCACTAATATTTTCAGAGCATCTGAGAGATTGAATCTTTGTAGCCCCTAACTTTACTTTTTGGTTCAGTCTCATCAGCACTCTTTCCACAAGCAGCAACTGGCTGTTTTCAGTAAAATAATAATAATTTTTTTTTAAAAAACCTAATGAAATGACACAAATCTAGCAGGCAGCTAGCTAACTTTTAACTACTCACTGCTAATAATGCCCTACAAAGGCTGGATGTTTAAAGATTGAGACAAACAAATCCCGAACTGTTAGCCATGAAAAGGTTGTGGCACAGTGGTTACACTGTTGTCTCACTGCAATATGGCTCTTGATTTGAACCTCATGGTGAGCGTGGGTGTCTACGTGCAGTTTGGATGTTCTCCCTGTGCCTCTGAGGATTTTCCAAACTGGTGTGGATGTGAGAGGGTGTGGTTGTCTGTGTCTCTGTGTTAGCCCTTTGATGGGACATGTGCTCGGAGTACCCTGGCTCTACCCATATAACACCTGGGATAAGCTTATTTCCAGTTTAACTCTGTCTTGTCAAACCAAAGTTACTTTGAAGATGGCAACTGAGTGCAAATGGTCACGGGCCAGATTTCAGTCTTCGAAACAACCGTTTTAAAGGCAGCGAGGTTGCAAGTTAACTCATTCACTGCCAGCCATTGGCAGTGAATGAGTTAAACCCATTGACTCATTCACTGCAATTGACGGCTATAGACGTCAATGGCAGTGAATGAGTTAATTGTAAACTGTCCCAATAATTTTGTTGTCCCTGTTTTCCCTAGTGTGACTGTAGCATAACTGTAGCATATAAGCTGGACAAACAGATAAAAAAAAGTGGATGGTTTTAAAACATATGTTTTAAACTACCTGGGAGTGAAGATTTAAGTTTGTTTCTATAGCAACATTTTCCCCTGTATTAATGGCCAAATCAGCGTTTTACTTTTCTTGACCTGTTGTCCTGATGAAAGAAAGTCCTGTGTTTTTGTGATATATAAAAGTGTATAAAAGTGTGATCTCACTGCCATGTTTGCTAATCATTTGCACGTCTACATAAAATTAATTGCAAAATTGAACGATAGGACAACATCACTCAGAGAGGGACTGAATAATACTTATGCACCTATCTAATGCAGTCCTTGGTCTGACACACCCCAATATGAATGTACCCATACTTTTGTTGAATACACAATGCAGCAAAAACAGCAGTAAACCTTCAAAATAAAGGCGAAGCAGATACGTGAGAGGCTCTTCACCCTGCTGCATCACCTTGATTAATTCACAGCACACAATCCCACAGCAGCTCAAATTGTGAAAAAAGACAAAGCAAATGCGGGACTGCTGAGCTGAGTTGAGACAAGCTGACATCAAACGTTCAGATTCCCCCTCTACAATGACAGGTGTGGATGTATGACGCAGCAGGAGGTGTTTGATATTGTTCAACACTTCTGAAAAGTGACTGATGTGTGATGTGATGTGCTGAAACTGCAATGGGAAGGGATGCGATTTCCATTTTCCTCTGGGGTCAAGCATCTGATCTAAAGTAATGGTCTTACACTGACAAGAAGATACAACGCTAACAATTAAAATAATTCAATTACAACTGCTTCTGAATGAAAGAAAATCAATTAAATCTGTTTCGGAACAACTCAGCGTCGCTTTAAGTCAAGTACAATGCCTTACAAAGAGCGAACCAAAAGCAGCAGAGTCAAGAAGTAAACACTGAGTATTTGTAAAAAATAACTATGTGTTCAACAGACAAAAGGCTCAAGTCAACAACACGTCTTCCTTGACTCGTCTGATTTTGATACAGCAAATTCAATGATGTAATCCCTATTTAGGAACTTCTCTCTGAAGAATGTTCAGTGTGGCTCTCAAAGATTTTTTTTTTTAAAAACAGGTCAGCGTAGCCCCATGTTTCAGGTCATCGTTGAGCTCGAGGGAAGAGTAAGTGGGTCAAGAAAGAAGGTAGGTAAGAGACAGCAAGGGTATGACCAGAACGTCGGACCGAGAAAGGAAAGTAAAAAGAGTACAAAGGGATTTATTATTGTCCTGTTGATGCAGTTGACTATGATACAGGCTGACTTGGAGAGCTAAGGGCAGGACAATGCAGTGCGGGACAAGGCCGGAGGGAGGCGGCTTGGTCAGAGAGTTTTGGGCTGTTATTGTGAAGAACTGTTTGGGGAAATGGGGACGACAGGGAGACAGGCAAACTGCAGCTGGCAGCAGAGGAGAAAAAGGGGGGGGGGGATGATGTTTTTTTTTGGTTCAGAAGCGGGCGCGGTTGTGACCCTGGCCTCCCTCTCTGCCGTGGTGGCCTCCCTCTCTGTGGCTGTGCCTCTTGTGCTTTCTGCGCTCTCTCCTGGTCTTGTGGTGGTGGCGCCGGTAACGGTGAGCTCGCCGGGCTGGAGGAACAACCAAAGTGGAAGAGAGAAGTATTAAAGGAGTAATTCAGTATGTAATGAGATGAAAGTGAAGGGTAGAAAAGTGATGCAAGCGGGAGATGAATCACTGGCAAGCATCAGAAGTTTTTGAAACCAGGTAAGATGCGAGAGAACGGATCAAAACGCAGGAAGGTCAAAATGTGCAGATGGTTTAACTGTTTCCTGCACACTGAGGGAATCTGTTTTATCTCTCATTGAGTAGACTAGGCGCCTTTAGCAAGGGCACAATGAGCTAGCCACCCACTCACTGCCTCGGTATAAGCTTGTTCCTGGTGTGTACTGCCAAATTAGATTGCTCCGTCCCTTTCTGGGTTTGCCAACAAAGAAATGTCGTCTGCAATGAATGATAACAACATCATAACTCTGGGCCATAAAAACAACTCTGTCCAAAGATAAAGAGTCATAAGCAAAGGAATCTTTATCGCTTTGAACAGAAGTTACATTATTTCAGTATTTCATCATTACTGTCACACAGTGAGCAAAGTGAAGTGAAATACAAGGCTCAGTTTGTTGAATATTTCATATAGATCAACCGGCCTATGAGGAAGAGAAAATTATGGTGAAAAGTTATGACATCAAGTCGGTATATTCTGTCGCGGTTAGTGTGAGCAGTTTAAAAATTGATAAAAGTAAAGTTTATTTTAAAGAAGATAAGGTATTCAGTGAAAGAAACTGATTTTCTGTGCTGTTTTAGAAATACCCGGCAGCAAGTGCGATATCATCACTGTGCAGGATTATTTTGTGCAGATGTTTTACATGTGCAAAACAACAGTACTGTGGAAAAGTTTTGAGCCACTTGAGCCGTTTTAAAGTTGTAGCTGTAATTTTCAGCGCTTAATGAACGTCTACCAAAGATTTTCTTTAGATATTGACTGTATTTTCTTTAATTTTCAGTGTTGTCTTGTACCTGACCATTTTTAGAGGACTGTGCTTTTGTTTATCAAACCACTTAACACTGACCTATTAATCATTCAAGCAGAAAAAGACACTTAACTCAAGGGATGAATCGGTGATGTGTCTACACACAACACGCAACTTAACAAAGATCCAATTTTAAATTACAATTTCAGACACACTTTGTTACAAGCGGCATGTAACCTGTCCCTACTTCTTTAGTTTAATCTACATAAAATTCCAAAAATAAAAATTCAAGTTTTGTTGGACCAAAAAAGTGACTTTCAAAGAGCTTTAGCTGGAAACCTGTCAGTATGTTCTTAAAAAGTTGAGGAAATTAAACAAGTGGAGTACAAAGAAAAAGTCTCACGTCTAAAAATTGTGAAACAATAGTATATGAAGGCCAGGTCCTTAAGAAATAGGAAGAATCCAGCAAAGACCTGATACAGGACCTGAAAAATGCACCGTGCCGTTTAACTGATTCATCTACTGTTTACTGAAGCATACAACATCCAAAAAGGAGATTTAAATGTCCTTCAAGAATCCTGGAGAGTTATTACTATTTAAAGAAATTACAAGAAAGTTGGCTAATAGAGTTCAGGCTGTGTTGAGGAATAAAGGTGGTTACACCAAATATTGACTCAAACACATTAAAACTGCATAACCGCTATTTTTGCATCATATACTGCGTTTCCTGTATTTGTTTGCAGATATTTCAATAAATCACTGGACCTTTCTTTCTTTCTTGCACGTGCGTTGATTTACATGAAGCTTCAACCTGTTAGAATTAGTTTTGAAAAAGTCTACAAAGGAAAAGTGGAAAAAAAAACTACCTCGAGCACAAAACACTTCAAAGGACACCCTGCGACTTCTAAGCAAGCCCAAGGGACTAAAAACTGCAATTATCAATAATGAGAGCGGGGATGGAAAGCCCGAGAATACACAAAGTGACAGCAGCTCCTGGGGGCTGTTGATGTTTGGGGTTCAGTCTTTTTTGGTGTGCATGCTAAAAATATTAATAATGATTAAAAAAAACAAAACAGAAATGTGAAAATGACCTAAAAAATTCTGTAAGTCTTGCTGTTTACCAAGCAGCCATATTCTCTTTGTTAACACTCACATTTTATGCAGATGATTTTAGGTCGGTCCCATTTGCCGTTAGCACGACACTTAGCAGTGGGCACGTGCCGCTGCAGGAAGCCATCGGCGCACTGGTAACGTACTACTGAGTGGATGTCATAGTGGGTACGCTTCCGACCAATCAGGAAGGCATTATCCACAGTTGGAGGGGCCCCGCAAAGCACTATAGAGACAGAGAAATACAGAATATTAATGAGGTTAGTTATTTTTATTGTAATTACTTACAATTCTTGCTGTGTCATTAGTATTTATTAATCAAATAAGATTCTTAAAAGGTTCTTATCATTGTTTTCCTTGTTATTCTCTGACGTGATCAGCTCAAGTGATCCCTATGAGCAACAATCTCAGGCTTCAGAGTCCTCTGAATGTTCGGTTTCAGGCTATTTTTATTCCTTTGGCTCTGTATGACACCAGTGAGAAGAGATATCCTTAATACGTTCCTCTTAGGCACACAGCTCTGAGTGGGATCACAGAAACCCCCTACCTGCGATTCAATCCTTATTTTTAAGAGGAAGTTCAATCAAAAGAAAGTTGCGTCAAATGGAGGGAAAAGAAATTAAAACATTTTATTTTATTTGTTTATTCGGAACAGTGAAGCAGTAGAGACAAAGAACATGGAGCTGGAATTGACCATAATAAGTCGTTTTTAAACAGTAATGACTTTAACCTGGATTCACCCCATTAGTGTGCTTCACTTAAACATTTCAGGGTTCCAAATGGTGTTTTAGATTTTAAGGACACATCCCACACACGGCGGGACTATGACTTGGCTAAAACATTCTTTGAAAACCGCTTCAATCTGTGGATTTAGCATCTGCAGGACAGGGTGTCTGTCCAAGTCTGTCAGCGAGTGAGTAGGTGGGATTCAAAGTAACACAGCATTTTAGACACATAAAAGAGAGGAGGCAGAATCAGAAAATTGTTTACTCAAGCTGAGACAGACAGAGAACTGACACTCTGGGCAGAGACTGACAGGATGGACAAGCCTCAGGGAGGCACTCAAACAACTTCACCATTTTTTTTTAGCTCTCCCGTCGGGGTGTCAGACTGCAGTGGTCGAGGCTGACTTCAGTTCAGCAACAAACCAGTCAGGAGAGGACTTAATCAGCAATCAGAAAATGTTTACAGTCCTTAATTCCCTTGTCTGTGTCCTAATACCTCTTAAATTCTTAATAAGGGAAAGCAATGCCATTAACTCTGATGAAGGGTTTAACGTCACATTTACAGTTTAATACACTGTGGATGGAAGGGGCAATAAGCACTTCCCCCTCACTTGAGACTATTACTGTCTTGACACAAATGAAAGGCTAAAAGGTAGCTTTCCATTAGCCGTCACCTATGTACGCTGTTGAAAGATTTCTCACAGTGCAGACAAGCTAAGTGAGATTGTACTGAAGTAGGTATAAAATAAAACGTCAAAAAACTCAGAAAAGGGAAATGGAACTGGAAAAGGTGGTTTTTATAGTGAAGAGTAGAGGGCTGCGAGTGAAAGGATGCTGGGTCTTAGAAAAGCCCATCAAAAAAACTATAAAAAACACCAAAAGCACCTGTTCAGTGTTTTAGGACGTGTGATTGGTAAAAGACTCATCTTTGCTTGCATGACAATGAATCATTTTAGAAACTTCTTCACAGTAAAGTCCATATTTGAAGCATTGTTTGTCATTGCAACATCTAAAATACACTTTGCTCAATGTCTTCACCAAATATGGATAAATGTAACAACTGCCACCTGACTGGTTGGTCTGACGGCTCATACAACTACGTAACATTAAGTCAAGGTTAGGATGAGTAACCTTTACTATCAAACGCAGGTTTCCTCCCAAATAATATCACTGCGGAAGCCTATTAATTATTAATTAGCCTATCAACATTACTCATAGGTGTAAATAATTAAAAGCTGCAGTGATTTTGGCTCTTTAACTTTGCATTTCCATTAAAATAATGTCATGTTTTTGCTGTATTTTTGAAATTACAGATAAAACAGAATGAAAATTATTTACTTTTTAAATGATTCTTATTACAGATAAAACAGAACAGCTGTGAGATGAAGGGGAAAAAAATATTTTATGTAGAGACCGCTTTGCATCCCTTGTGTGCTGTTTGTATATCTAATTTAGAGGAGGCTACTTTGATTATAAATAGAACATAAAGAAGCTTAATAGCTTTAAAACAGGTCAAATAGAAATAAACTGTAATATATCAAATAAGCAGATCTCTGACCTGTGTTGATCATGTTTTTAACAGCATTTCCAATCAAAGCAAACAAATCTTTTCAATAAGCATTACATTCTCTATTTTCCCCTTATCAGCATGAATAAAACTATGTGTAAAATCACCATTATTCATACTCATATTTATCAATAAAAGAGCTGGATGTGGTCCAGAGCCACAGGTTCGAGATCCCTGTTCTAAGTCAACACTGGAAGTTAAGAAGAAGTTATGCAGTATATCTGCATGCGTGTTGTGAAAATATCTATAGTTATTTTCTTTGCCGTTTTTCTTGTGTTGCAGGGGGGCAGTCAGTGTGAGTCATGCGGAAAGCTGCAGACAGCTGCTGGGTTCCTCTAGTTGGTTCCTTTATGGCCTCAAAACATCCGCACACCTACTGGCAATCATGTGAAAACAAATCAGAGAGATGTGCAAATGTGTGTGTGTATTCTCTGCACAACACTATGGGAGTACGTCTCACACAGAGTTATGTTCAAACTCAGTTTTGTTTATTAAGAAAGTCTGTTTGCGTGAACACTGACAGCTGCTCAGATCAACTGAGATAATGGTTTTGTTTTGTTGTTCACTAAACAGAAATACACCACAGGTAACAAATCTCATTCAAAGTCCACTTAGATTTATAACCTGTGGACTCGGAGAAGGCATTTGACTGAGTCCTTCAGGGTGTCCTGTGTGTGTGTGTGTGTGTGTGTGTGTGTGTGTGGTGTGGGTGTGGTGTGTGGGTGGGGGGGGGGCTTTGGGAGTGTTAGGCCCAGTGGTACAGGCTATTCAATTCCTGTAGAACCACAATGGCAATAACTGATGGCTGGACTTTACTAGGACTGCGCTTTGCCAATGATTATGTTTAGAATTTCTAGGCACACGCAGCCAAGGAAGAATGTCAGGTTTGGTGGTTGCAGCATCTTCTCCTTGCTTTTTGCAGTCAGCCTCTGTTGGAAAAGGGTGACAGCTTTGGGTTGGGAAAGAGTTGTTGCCTCTAATGGAAAATTCAAATATCTTGGGATCTTCATGAGTAAGGGAAGTACCGGTAGGTTGGAGATTGACTGATGCAATGTGTGCAATAATGTGGATGCAGTATCTGTCTGCTGTGGCAAAGACAAAGCTGAGCGTAAATGATTTTTTACCGGTCGATCTATGTGCCGATTCCTCCTCTCACCTATGGCTACAAGCTTTGGGAGTGACCTCGGATGCATCTTACTAGGATGCATCCTTAACCTCCTGGCGTCCACATATGTGGATATCACATTTTGGGTTGTCTAGACCAGTGGTCCCCAACCCCCGGGCCACGGACCGAGTCATTTGGTACCGGGCCGCGAGAGTTGAGGCTCGGGTGTGAAATGTATGGTTTTCAGGGTTTTTATCGGTTTTCAGCGTTATTTTGTTATCGTTTTTATCGTTAACTCGGTTTTCCTGGGTCTTTTCACGTGTGTTATGAATAAATCTTCTTTTTTTCGGTACCGGTACTAGTTTTATTTTGCTGTATTTATCCGCGACACCTTAAAGGCCGGTCCGTGAAAATATTGTCGGGCATAAACCGGTCGCAAAAAAGGTTGGGGACCGTTGGTCTAGACCAAAATACTAAATGTTGCTCTACAAGGGCCTGATATCCACTTACGAGGACATTATATTTCCACTGTTCTATCGAAATTTAAAACGAATGTCGTTAAATTCATCAGGTTCCAATCAGCCCAAATAGAATAGAATAGAGAAATTAAAAACGCATGCCATGAAAGAGTTCGGGTCTTAGGAGGTTAATTTCTCCTAAGTGAGATGTTTCGAGCACGCCCAACTCTGAGAGGTCAAATGCACTGCAAATTAAGAAAACATCAGGGAATAGAAAAAAGCTGCAAAAGCACACAAAAGAGAATAACAGTGTAATAAGGAAGCAGAGGGTTCCTTAGTGTTGTGTAGCTGCAGATAATGTGCGTTTTAATCGAGTCTGTGCATCCCAAACATACAGATATTAAGAAGCAAATAACACAAAACTGCAAGTAGGATTTTTTTTTCTCCATTTTGATTTAAATTAAAAGGAGACTATTTGAAAAAGTAGCTTATAGCTTTAAGCTGGTAAGCAGTCTGGCTTGGTCAGACAGCATTTCCTTGGAGGGCCGCTTGCAGGCCTTGACCTTCTGCTGTGTTCCTACAGGCATGTCCCTGTGGAGAATATGTGGGGAGCTTGGGGGAAGTTTGTGCTTGGTCAGGAAGGGTTGGCGAGGAGAGCTATCTTCTTCTTACCTTCTATTTTCTCTCTGAATGGCTAGACTCATCATCAGACCAAACAAACGAAACAAATATTATTACACTGGAAATATGTGCACTATTTTACAGCAAAATTCATAAATATCGGTTCCTTTGAATTATTTGAAAGGTTTGTAGGTCTCACACTAAGGTGGAAGCTGGTAAAGCTTCTCTTGCAAATACAAAATAGAATTCAGAAATAGCAGGTTTGTGTGTATTACACAGTGGCTATATTACACCCCAGTGGACACATGAACTGCTGAAGGCACTGACATCAACCTATTATTTCCCAACGCGCTCACAGTGTCTGTATGTCATGCAAAATTAGATTTCCCCCCTCTGTAATAAGCCATAAAAAAACTGAATAATTTTATAATTCTTACATGTCTTGTTGTAGGTAAATTTCTTCTCATCCTTGCTAGAAGAGCTTAGAGGCAGATGACTGTGTGACATTCTTGTCACCGTAATCCAAATGTAAATGTTGAACTCAATCAGTTTTGCTTTTTTTCCATTTTTTCTTTATCCCTTACTTGGATAACATTGATCCAGCAATCAAATATTACATCTGAATGTTGAAACAAGTTGAATCAATCCTACAAAGAGCATCACTTTTAGTAAAAAAGGCCAGAGCTATATAGATATAGATATATATATATCCTTCTACAGAGGTGGCAAGAGTACAGACTTTCTTTAGTTAAGTAGCTAAGTAGTAAGGTAAGTGTGTTAAAAATACTCAAGCAACTTTACTCAAGTAAAAGTGGGAAAGTACAGGCTCTGAAATGGCCCCAAAGTAAGAAAGTAAAAAGTAGTCCTTGAAGGACAAAAAGGTAACTGAACGTTCCTCTATGAAAATGTAAAAAATATTAGTACATGAGAAATACTATTCCAACCCAAAATCAAAAATAGAGTACAGTAAAATGAGTAGAGTCAAAGTACTAATACTGTACTGTCTTATGAGATGACTGCATCAGGTCTTTTTGCTTAAATAGAAGAAATCATCACCATCTGTACAACACGCCACCCTAACTGACCCCCCAAGCAGCTGATCAAGATGCCCGATTGGCTCGTGTGATGAGAAGACAATCAGATCACATGAGCTGGGGTAATTAGAAATGAGTCTCAGCATGGAGCTGAGAACTCCACTGATACGATCAGACAGTACATGGGGGTTACTTGAGTGAGTGAAAAAGAGGATGACAGGGAAGCAGGGAAAAGATGAAAAGATGCTGGTGATTGTAAGTGACTGATTAAGGTCAGAGGTGGGCTGTATGCCTGGGACTTGTGACAGTGAGCAGCAGAGGTGCTGCAACACCTTGCTCACAAGGGAAACAGCTCTCCTTTGATACACCAATATAGCAGCGGCCCGTTTTCTGTACGTGTCTCCACGATCAACTGGCTGATCCAACATCTGCTGATGCTATTTTCCAAAAACACGCATAAAGACTTGAAAAGAACAACTCAATCCAACTCCTGAGAAGACCGCAGACTCCCACGATCATATATGAATACTCAAACTTATAATACTCAACTCAATGATGGGAGGAAAGATGACAGGGGGGACAGTGAGACGAATGATTTGCACAAAATTAAAGTCACAGAGCAGAAAAAAGGGCGGTTGGCAAACAGTGGTTGAGACATAAAACCTTTGAAGTAATAGTGCTCTTACGGAAATAAATGTTGTTTTCAGAATGCCCTTTTCTACTACAGCAAAGCCAGCAGTTAAACCAAGAACAAAAATAAACTAAATCTAAGGTAAGAGAGGTAAGAGAGCCTTTGCATAGGCCTCAGAGTAAAGGACAATACAGAAAAAGACTGTTGAGTATGAGGATCAGTCACAGACATGAAGCTTCAACCAAAAGCAATTAAATGTGACAAAGATGTTTTCTTTTGAAGTGCCACAACTTTGTAATTATCACTTTTGCACTTTTTCATTTATTCTTTAACATTTCAATCAGATACCAGCACATCATGTACCGGGGAACAGATTAACCAAAGAACTGTCTATCCATCAAAAAACACATATAATCAAGAGAAAAAGAAAGTACACGTTTCAATTCTGTGAGGAAATAATAGAACAATCTGGTCCTTACCAGCTATTGAATTGGTTCTACTAGCTGTTGAATCAGGAAGACTTTTCACACACTGGTTTTGCATTTAGTATTTGTAAGATAAATGATGACACTCTTCATAAGGCTACAAATATTAAATTCTCTATACCTGGTACAAATAAGCACAAATGGTTAGGTTAATTTGATATGATGACCATCAATGAGGTTTTTATGTTAGGTTTATCAGTTTAAAGTCAGCCTGTAGGAAGAGCAGGTGACAGGATCTAACAGAGGCAAGCAGAGAAAGAAAAAAAAATTGGCCAGAGAATCCAGGTGTAAAACTCCAAAAGAAAAGCAGGGACATGATAAAAAAACGCGTTTCTAACAGAGAAGATCAGAATGCTTTAGATGTTGTAACAATGCAACTTAGAAGTAAATCAAGTGTGATAAAAAAGCAACAACAAGACATCTTTATGCTTTCTTAAAGCAAAGTGTAAGCATTGCCTCAGATTGAGAGGCAATTAACAACCTCTCCCATCCTCATTCAGAGGGTGGGGGAGGTTCAATTTGGAACTATCTTGGTTTTCATGTGAAGCATGACCCTGATGGTAAGCGCGTCACAAAAGTAAAACAGTATGTCGGATGTGCCACGCAATGCTCAATCGGTGGGAACTAGTGCGTTAGTGCAGTTAGCTCGTTAACGTGTTGACGCCGCCCAGCCCCACGCACGGGGTGATCCGTGGTAACTCGTTAACAGAGATTTGCAGCGTTATGGCGTTAATGTCATTTTAACGAGATTAACGCTGACAGCACTAGTGGGAACACAACGAATATGACTGCACATTTACGCCGACATCATCCTAGTGCAAAGACAAGTGGAAGCAGACAAAAACAACAAGCACGCATGCTACAAACTTTACCCGAGTCATTTAGACAGCCGTTAGCACATGATTCTCCTTATGGGGACCTGATATGTTTAATATGCTGCTGAGAATCGTATAGTCTTGTATAGCTTTTATTTTGGAAAGAGCCATTTCTCTGTAATAAACTCTCTTTTCCAAAGATGAGTGATTTCTCGATCAGATAGATTTATTATTTTTATTATTTTGTTGTTTAAGCAACATTACATTTAAAAACTGTACTTTTGAGTTAAAATATATATATTTATAATTTTAATAAATGACAAATTAAAAAGGCATGAACAATTTTTGTATCGAAAAAATATTGAACCGTGACACCAAAGTATCGAACTGAACTGTGAATTTTGTGTATGGTTGCACCCCCACTATTTATATGTCAAGCCGCTATTGATCATAAGTTTGACCTGTATGAAAAAATAAGCTCTAATATGCTCTCAGAGGAACACGTAGAAGCCTACACTTAGATGGGACAGCTGCAACAGGAGACATAAAGAAGAGGTAGCAGCGTATACAATGATAACTAAAACAGCACATGGGTAAAGAAAAAATCGAGTCAGGACATGAGCCGTGTGTGGAAAACTTGTTAAAGTTGATGCTGGAGGATGACAGGACATCAGAAAGAGAGGGCTTGTAAGACGCAAGCAGTGTGACTCTAAGGTATGCAGAGTGACTGAAGAGGCTTGGTCTTAATCTCTTGCACCGCACACAGATGTGTGTAATGTAAAGCATGACACAGTCAGGATATTCAGAATCACCTGAAGGTACGTGCGCTGTCAGTCTCTGTGCTTTGATAGAGACGGTGTGCAGCATTTTCGAGCTGCTTTACATAAAAAAACACAGTCTCAAGAACTTTTCATCACCTTTCTATTTTGTGATTCTATTTTAAAGGCTGTACAGGATTTGAAACTAAAGAGCTGACAGCAAAGCGCGGTGAGCTGTACATCCTCATTCTGTCTCTGCCTTCTTCAGTCCGATCCCTTGCTGCCTCGCACTTCAGATCTGACATTTCTCACTCTTTGCAACCTCTTCCTCTTTCCAATTTACATCTTGCTGCTCTCTGCCTCCTCACCTCTTTTCTTAGTCATCTTTATCAACTGTTTCAGTTGCAGAAAACTCTCCTCTCCTCTTCTTCCCCCTGTGTTGTTCTCACCTGTTCCCTTCTTGCAGACGTAGGGCAGATTGTAGTTGCAGGGCACGTCATTCCATTTGCCATTCTCATGAGCAATCATCACCACACAGTCTTCTCCTCCAGCAAAGAAGTTGTCTGGCTGGTTTTCACGCCAGTTCTCATATTGCTGCACACATACACAAGCAGGCAAGGTTAAAGAAACAAACTTGAGCAAAAAGTGCTACTTTTTTTTTTACTACAGGCAGTGGAGAAAACATTTTGTTGGGAATCACGACTGCTGCTACAATGACCACATCAAAATTTGCTCTGCAACTCCAGGAGCTTTAAGTACGCTAGGATCAGCTGACTACAAAACAAAACAAAAACAGCTGGATCCTCACCAGGTCCATCTTGTCAGTCCACTGAAAATCATCTTCTACTGTCCGATCATTCAGCCCAATCCAGGTGTTGTCATGGCTTAGACCTGAGTAAGAAATTGCAAACAAAAAATTAATGCAGAAAACAGTAGAGCACTACACACAGTATCCACACCTACAAATAAACAATAAAGACATATATGGGGCAATTCAATGTATTGCTTGACATCTATAGATAATTATTACAACATACTACAAAAAAATTGTTAGGAATGAATTGTTGTTCTATGGTTTACTGTATGAGTACATGATACGCACTCATTTCTCTCAAAAAATCCTTTAAAAACATTTGTCATGAGGCTGTGACACATCACAAACTCTGATTCAGGTGGGAAACTGATCACTTTGTTGTGTGGAGCAACAAAACACCTAATCACCAGTGCTGAAAATCCAGCACCTAAAGAGGAGACTATTGCCAACTACTCGTCATATGACTTTATCTGCACTGGCCTCATTCTGAGGACATTACCTGCTGGAGAAAGTTTGTACCAAATAAGCTGGATCTTATATAGAGGCAGACTGTTCATTGGATAGTGTGAAAGTGTCTGCTGAGGTGATGAAGGGAAGCCATTTGCTTTTGGTGTCGCAACACTCTTTCAAAAACAAAACAAACACACATCCCAAAAAACGTTCTAGGTTTGGTCCAGATGTTGCAAACGGGGAGCCAAAAGTGCCTTGGTCCGACAATACAAGTGGATAGCACAGAGGGTATTTTGTGCGGCCGCCGGTCCGAGTGTCAGGTGAACTTCAGGTAAGAGGTTATGACCTGCAGTCTATCTGGGTCAGATTTAAACCGAGTTTAGGTGGAGTTTATTTTCGTTGTGCTAAATTGTTATAGTCAGTCACAATTACTCGCACTGCGTACTAGCTAGCATGACGGAGTTTCTATACAGCTGGGTGGGTGCTATGATGTTAATGATAGTGAACTTTATTTTATTCATAAGGTTAGTTAGTAGAGTTGCCAACTGTCCCATAAAAAAAACCCTTCCTTGTAATTGGAAGGCTGCCGGTTCGAGCCCCGGCTTGGACAGTCTCAGTCATTGTGTCCTTGGGCAAGACACTTCACCCGTTGCCTACTGGTGGTGGTCAGTGTCCGGCAGCCTCGCCTCTGTCAGTGCGTGACAGAGGCGAGGCTATAATATAATACCTGGTGGGCCAGTCTCTAGTCAAAATGCCCGGGCCAATTTTTTGTCCCAGTCCAGCCCTGCCCTTGGTGTAGAACAGTGGAGGGCTTTGTAGTATAACTCAGGGTACTCTTATTCTTCTTAGTGCAGGTTTCACACATGAGCTCGACTCAAGCTTGACAGTCCTGGAGCTGGCTGACCTCAGATGAATGATGACCATTAATAGAGATATATTATTTCTGTCTGCGGTATACGTGTGATGAGATTTTTGTTTGTGTGAAAGGATATTTCCCTAATGGTGTTTTGGGTTAATCTCATTTGTGTGTGTGTGGGTGTCTCTGTGCGCAGTGGGCCAGCCATGTGCATGTGCTTGCACATACTGTATGTAATGGAATTTCAATCATGGTGAATCTGATTAACATCATTACCAGGCCCATTAATCTTCCTAATGGCTGTGATCCTCTTATTGCAGGGGTGGAGACGTCCATTTTCGAGGCAATTAAACGCACTTTTTGGTAATGGTGAGCAAATAGGAGAAAGATCAGTTCTAGGTGGGTGGTACTGTCTTTTCTTGGCATCTGGTCGGGACAGACGGCTGATCCAGAATAGTTTGCTGCTGCTGATCAGGTCTTATTACAACACAAGTGGCTGTGGAGCTTGCCAGAGGGCAAAAACTTAAGAATAAAGAGATGAAGCTTTATGGAGCACCAAAGAAAAACTGAATGGATATTAGCATGGTAATGCTGACTGGCACTAATTAAACTGCTCTCTGTGGCCAAATATTTAAGTCCACAATGAACATGAGTGGAAGAGCCAAGGAGATGTATTTAGCTCTTCAACTGTTTGGCTTAATTTAAAATAGGATTTGCAAACAATTCAGGACAACAGGAAAGGACACCAAACACCATAATTACATACTAAAACAACCACAGCAACACATCTCGGGTTCTCTGTTCATATTACAAATATAGATCATGATCATTAACTTCTCAGCTGACCACCTGCACATGTGGGTCTGTAATGTGCACTGGATAATGGGATGGATTTACCTGTTACTACCACACACCAAATCTGGCCGTTGGTACTTTGTGGCTTGTGTAGCCACTAGGTAACAAAAGCTCAACCTCAATACACACATCCTCCATTACAACCTCAGCCTTGACAGTCTTCAGTGGACAAAACTGTGAATGTCTATTTTGGATGCTGCAGATTCTAACCCAAAAAGCTGTTGCTTGGCCTCTGGATTGTACACTGAGATACAGAGCTAATCAACAGGGATGATCCTTGACACAAAAGTCACTCCGTCACACAAGGTTATGTTTGCTGTCCCAGTAGGTTGATGTCTGTGGTAAAAACTCAGATCTATATACCCGATTAGTCAGAATAGACCTTGTTTAAGTGCTCTAAAAATAGCAGCTATGCTGGAAGCTAACTGGAGGTGCATGAGGAGATGACCTTGAATAGATAAGTGCCCATGAAAAGAGATGTATGATGATATTTTGGTGATGTCACACACCTTTTTTGTATGCCATTCATGTAACTTAATGCCCTCTACCACCTAAAATGCAAATCTTTATGTTAAAAGATATGGATCATACTCAAGTAGTCATAAACCTTTCCAAGGCATGTGCTTGTTTCACATACGTAAAACTCAGAAGTCCAAATAATTGTAATTAAATCAATTTTTTCCTATTAAGTTTCAGGTTATGGATTCATTTGCTTTGGTGAAGCTACCACAAAAGTTGAAAAAAATAATATTTGCAGAAAGAATATAGCACTATCAATATCACTTACTGTACAGACACTTATATCAGGGCCTGCAGGGTCAACTCACTGCAACAAATGGTGATATAGATTTATTTAGCTCGGACTTTGCTCCTTAAGGCTGTTTCAAACGGCAGCAAAATCAAGTCCTTTAAGGTCCGTCCACAGCTGAACTATAGAGATATTTAATACTGAGTTAGGGAAAACATAAAAGGGAAGGTCAGGTGTCATCTCCAAGTATGATAATAAAGTACAAAAGTAGATATCACTCACTGGCCTCTAAAAGCTTTGTGCAGGAGGCAAAGGCAGCCATCCAAGTGACAGCAGGTTAGGCTATTATTACTAAATCAGTACTATCATTTAAACTGAGCAATGTCTTCTTTAAAAGTGACTGGTGATTACAAGTGTCACCAGATATTTCTGAAATATAGCGACGTGAAATAGAAAGCGTGAGGATGCCTATCTAAATCTTCAGATGTCCTCAACACTAAAACATAAGAATCTTCAGTTGAAAAATGGAAGCATATTATGTTGATGTTACCACAAGTGGACAAGTTTAAGTATCTCAGTGTCTTGTTCACAAATGCGGAAGGTGTAGAGTGGATGATTGACAGACGGACTGGTGTGGCAGTGACTCAGAAATTGTTGATTGTAGTGAAGACAGAAAGCGAGCTATCGATTTATATTCCTACCTTCCTCTATGGCCGTGAGCTCTGGTTAGTGACCAAAAGAACAAGATCGCAGATACAAACAGTGGAAATGAGCTTTGGCCAAAGGGTGTCAGCCTCAGAGATACGATGAAGAGCTTGGTTATTCGGGAGGAAATCAGCAGAGAGCTACGGCTCCTCTGCATTAGTTCAGTTGGTTTGGACCTCTGAATAGGATGTACTTCCTGGGCACCTCCTGGATGCTTCCTAGCTAAAATGCTTCCTGCATGTTCTACTATAAGGAGGCATACGGAGGATAAACTGAAGAAATTATATGTTTTGGCTGGCCTGGAAACACCTCACTGTCCCCTTGGAGGGGATGCCTAGGGAGAAGTAGGTCTTGGCATCTCTGTCCCTGTGACCCAGACTGTGGCAGAAAATGGATGGATGAATGGATGTGGGTATCATAAACAATCATAAACTAAATGGACGGCTATGTTGCAAACAGAACTGCACACAGGCCTCAGTTCCTGACAATGAACACGGTAAACATGAGGCGGAAACACTAAGGAGGTGGCATCAGCATGGTGCTGCTGTTACTATGCTGTTGTGAGCATTTAGCTCCTATGGCTGTGTCAAAGTTGCTAGAGTCTCATTAACTGAGGTTTCAACTTGGAGATTTTATGTCCACCTAACCTCGGGCATGCTCAAGTGAGCTGTCATCTAACAGCAAGACTTACTGGCCCTTGAATGTCCAAATTTGTCTTCCTAACTTTAATTTTTCTGCAGAGTAACAACATCAGAAAGAGCTGCACTCTGTGCCAAATCTGTTATTGTCCCGTTTCTCCTTACTCACCTCTGATGAAGTTCTGCTCAGCCACACTGTGGATACTGGCCAGGTGGCCATTGTGCTCCCTGCAGTCTTTCTCAGCGTCCTCCCAGGTGTGTCTGCGTGTGAAATATCTGTAGCAGTGGCCATGAAACTTCCTCCAAGTGTGCTCGCAGCCTTCGGTGTCTGCGGGTATGTAGGAGGGTAGTGAAAGAGAAGGGGAAGATAATTGAAAAAGACAGTTATTAGTCAATTTAAATCCACAAGGGAAGACAAGTGAGATTTTTTTAATTGTTAAAACACCCACATGGTGCTGCAAGGGAAAGAGGTAGGACGATTTGGGCATTAAGAGAGGGAGACCATCATTAATTTAGTGTTTATGTTTGCATCCACACACAACATGTTCCTGTTCTGCAGCAAAAAACAAACAAACAAAAAACCCTACATGGTGTTGCTGTTAGTGCCCTCTGTGACACCCCTCTCTGCCTCCTTCCCTCCATTTCTGGCTCTGCTGGTGTCTTCTTCTCTTTGATTTGCCTCGGACTTTTCATCTACAGCAGAGCCAAGTCGCTGGTGAGACAGCTTAGTCCAGTGAAAGGGCGTTTTAATCTATTCAAATGACAACAATCCTTAGAAATTGCTTCCAGTGTGCAGTGCTCGCTTGGTAATTAAGCGCTGTCACAGCCCTGTCAGCACAGTGTCTGTCCCTCCCTCTTATCCCCACCCCCCAAACCCTTCCTCCTTCTTTCCCTTCATCTTTCCCATCTATTCTCTCCTCATCTCTCTGGGGGTTAGCTGTGCAACTGTGAGTTGTAATGCGGTGTGTGTTTGGCTTCTCATTTTATGCTTTGGACTGTGTATGTGTGCATGTGTGTCTGTGAATATAACGTGTATAAGTTTAAATGTCATAGTTGATGTGGTTCAGGCTTGATCTGTCAGTTGAGCCACCTCCAGTTTTCCCTCATCCTCACCATCTCTCGTGCCCCTTCCCTCTTTGTGAGGATCAGGGAAATGGCCTCAGCTTCTCCCCCAACAAATGTGAAGCGACACCAGTAAATTGGGCAGTGCAAATTGGGCCGTATGGGGCCCTGCTTAGTATGCAGAGAGATGCTGTCTTGGCCATGGAAAGAAGAAGGAGAGCAGAGAAGAGAGAAGACAAGAGGAAAGGAGTCCGTAATGAAAGCTTTTCTTTACAGGAATATTAAAGAAGGGCTTCCAAACCTTTGCCTTTTATACTGTTAAGCTCTCCTCCTTTCAGAGTGTTCAGGGACATGGAGGTACTCCGCTGTGAAGTGCAATGACGCAAGTTCACAAAATGCACTGCACTGGGTCACCGTAACACTGCCTCCTCAGGTAGAGCTACATTTTTTGTCTGAAAGTGAAGTTTGGAAAAACTCTCCTTGAATTAATATAAAAGTCCAAACTTATGAAATACAGAACCATTGTTTCTTTTTTGCTGCTCAATGCATTAGCTGACTCAGAAGATGACAAGTATCTCTTCTGAGTGTTAGAGTGACAAACTTATTGTCAGTCAGTCACAATAATGAGCAAAGTATAAAACGGCTGCACAATGTGCAAACTCCTACAGTCTACCCACCATGCAACAACATGTTACTGGATATTTGTACTTTAGGCTTAGTGCTATGTCATTAAAAAAATAGACAGATGATCATGTTGGCTGAATGCATGTGCACGTGGGGCCAGAAAGAGATGCAGAGAAATGATTAATGACAATAATGTTTGCACACAGTATGTCAGTGAAATTTGTCATGGCAAGTGCCTGTCCAATTATCTTACTCGTTAAAGCCCTGGTGGCACTCTCCACTATTTAAAATTCAACATACATCCACTGGCCTCTTTGACATGCATTCATTCAACCCCTTGCAGGAGGCCTGAAGAAAATCGGTTCCTACATAAAACAAGAAGTCCATTCTCTAAAATGAGTTGCAGTCACACAAAGGTCAGACATATATCTGGGCTGCTAACAATATGTTTTTACTGGGCTGAGTATAAAATGGCGTCAGAGCCCAAAAGCCTCCATCAAATGTCTGATCAGGTTTATCGTGTTGTGTTGACTTACTAATAAAACATGGTCGGTTTTTTAAAGGATTTCATATGGGCAAGGCTGATGTTTTTAAATATTCATCATTTGAAAAAGCCGACCCACTTTGTTCTTATTTCAAAGTCTAATATGTTGGTTACGGCAATTACGAAATACAATAAAAAAAACCATCCAAAATCTTGTCACAGCAAAGCACACATGGGTTTAAACACTGGGCAGGATGAGCAGATCATCTTTAAGGAAGACTGACTAAAGGAAGTGAGATTTGAGCGTCCACAAGACATGGATCAACATATACTTATTAAAACGAGAAGATTTAGCACTTCCTTACATATGAAATGAGGTTTAAAATGTCAGCTGTTTGATGTGAATCATTAACATACAAAAAAAATCTATATATAAATACATTTTAGTCACAAAAAGTACAGCATCGAATCTTCAGACCACTGTTTTCCTTGAGTACTTGGGAGAGTATAATTTAGATACTTGATGATTTATCCTATATTTGAGATAAAAATGGCCTCCTTGTCACACTTTGCAGGATCTTTTTACTATTTATGGGTTGTAGCATTACCATCTTCAAACTCAACCACTTGTTCAATTTTTTTTCAATTTGTTTTTTTTCAAATGTACAACTTTAAAGTTTTGTGACCGTTTTGATGGCAAAGCATCGTTATCATTATTTTTTTTTATCGTTAACTCAGTTTCACTGGGTCTTTCCCTGTGTGTCATTAATACATCTTCTTTTTTTCTGTTACCGGTACTGGTTTTATTTTGTTGTTTTTATCCGTGACATCTTAAAGGTCAGTCTGTAAAAATATTTTCGGACATAAACCAGCCTGAGGCACAAAAAGGTTGGGGACCGCTGGTCTATAGTATCTCTGGATGCGTCAGAGCCCAAAAGCTTCCATCAAATGTCTGATCAGGTTTATCGTCTTGTGATGACTTACTCATAAAGCATGGTCATTTTATTAAAATCATCAAGAGGACTGCTTTCCAGATTACCCTGGTTTTGTTTGATATAACACTGACTTCTGGGCAGTGGTGTAAGATGAGCACACATTTGGCTTCTACTGTATTGTAAATGATGTAAATGTGGAGTATCACTTCATTTCTTTTCCTGCTCAAATGTCTCTTGGTAGTCTGGGGAATTAATCTGATGACCTCAAAACGCGCTAATGACATGAAACCCAATTAGCCATTTTAACAGTTTCAGCCTCCTCTGGGCAGCTCACTGGCTCTCTGGTCCGCCCCACTGCTTCAGAACAAGATGAGCCTGGCTTTAACATCACGTTTGGATTTATGTGGAGGTTGTTGCTCATTTTAGAATGAATTTGCTTTCACATTATGGGGACTTAGTGCTGCTGGTTCTTTTCCTTTACAGTTTGAATTTGAAGAGTATGTGTTTTATGATTCAAATTTTAAACAAAAAAGATGGTATAAATGGTTTTGTCTCAACAAGTGAAAAGCCTCACATGTAAGCTCAGCTGACACTCTAAGAAACACTACTTAACCTAAAAATATAACTTCCTGGCTATCACTGATGACAAAATAAGAATCTAATGGCTTTTGAGGCATCTTTGAGTTAAATCCATTTTAAAGCTCTTGAGAACAGAAATGTTAAAAATCACTAATGACTGCAACAGAGAGCAAAGGCAAGGAGATAAAGGTGAGAGAACTGAAGTCCATTAACAGCACTCTTCTTGTTACAGAGCATGAAAAAGGATTGGCTGGTAGAGGCAAAAATAACTTGTTGATTTGCACAGACCAGTTGAAAGTGTTCATAAATCTGTCTGTATATAAAATATAAAGCTATCTCTGTGTCTTTTACTTTCATTCAAAATAAGGATGACTAATGTGGTAGTTTTTATTTTTTTCATGGCTCATAAAAAGTTTCATTAAGTATTATGAAGCTCACTGAACTCCAGCAAGATCATACAGTAAAAACAGAAAAAGAAAAAAAGAAGCATAAAACAGCAAAATACCCCCGACAAACATTTGTCTTTAATTCTTGGTTCCCTAAGCCTGCATGTTTATTAGTGATAGGACGCCAATAGCCCTTTCCCCCCCTTAATGCTTCCTTAAATAATCTTCAAAAGAAAAAGAACAGACTGCTCAACCAACAGAAGGCCTGTGTGGAAAAGCTTTTTCATTTGTTTGGATATGGCTATTCTGTTGATGCTGCACCCCTGGGCTCCAGCCAAACAACACAGTTGAATAAGTTGAACCTGGCTCAACTTTTTCTGCAGTGCAACCCAGTATCATCTATAATCAGCCAAATCCATGCAGCCGCACATCCCTGGTGCATTACTTTGTAACTGTATCTATATTTCTTACCACGTGGGTGGGACCAAAAGATAAAAAAGTTCCAAAAAGTTGCAAAATGCTGTCACAGAGCTTTCACATGACTGACTATGCAGTATTTTGTTGGCATAAAGCTTACTATATGAATTTTTGATGCAGTATTTTATATACAGTCTATGATGAGCCCTAAGGAAGGAAAGGGATGGATTAGGGATGCTTCGCAGGGGACGTGCTGAATTTTCCAGCCGTCCTTCGTGCAGATAGTACACTTCTGAACACACAAAGTCGATTAGCATTTGCCAGCACAGTGTTATCTTTGGTCTTCTGGGACCAAAAATCAGTCACTGCTGCTGTCATTTCCTCTGCTGACTGCAAACACACTCTTTCACTCTGTCATCACATCCGCTAGCTACCTGCTAGTGTGTTTACCCACATGGCAGCTGGTACATTGTATTACAATCGGGAGTGAGTCCAGTTTGGCTCATGGAAGTAGAGAAAGGGTTGTTATCTACAGGAACAGGGACAGGAGAATCAGGGTAGGTGTCACAAAGAGAGAGACGAAACACACACACACACACACACTGACTGACTCACACACATTCTGCTATGGGGTCCACAGTGGGAGTCAGTGAGTATTTAAGGTTACCGTTGCTCCCAATTAGGCATTAACCAGTCATTTTAAAACAGGGGCTGTGAACAGTAAACAGGGGCTTTTCATAGGCTTCTACATAGGCTTGAGAAAAAAGTGGAGTCTGAGGAGAACGAAAAACGGGAGCTAAGAAAGCAGTGAGCTACAGTGTGGGAGGGCAGAGAAGAGAGA